CAAGGCTCCCTCTAAGCTGTGGAGTCTTGTGAGCAGAAATTCTACTTTGTGGGCTACTGGCATTAAAGTTGTGAGCGAGCAATTTGGCTACTGCATGAATCAGTTTGCTCTGGAGCCCTCCTTCCTGAGCTAAGACAAAAATGTGTGAGCTGGAGGCTAAAACACTGTGAGGTAGCTCACACTAACGCAGCTTAGAGGGAACACTGGTTGTGAGGATCAGTGGGGGGTGGGAAGGGGGCAGTGTGCACCATCCTCCGCTTCTCAGAACCCTACAAATCACAGTTGTGGTCTCTTCCTTTCTATGTTACTGATGCGTGATGTACGCCAGTGCTGTCGATTTGGAACTGATGTGGTGACCCCAACCAGGGTCTTCCAAGGCAAGTGAGAAGCAGAGGTGGTTGGCCATTGCCTTCCTCTGCAGAGTCTTCCTTGGAGGTCTCCCTTCCAAGTGCCAACCCCAGCAAGGGGCTTTCAAGGCAAGTGAGAAGCAGAGGTGGTTGGCCATTGCCTTCCTCTGCAGAGTCTTCCTTGGAGGTCTCCCTTCCAAGTACCAACCCCAGCAAGGTACTTTCAGGGCAAGTGAGAAGCAGAGGTGGTTGGCCATTGCCTTCCTCTGCAGAGCCTTCCTTGGAGGTCTCCCTTCCAAGTACCAACCCCAGCAAGGGGCTTTCAGGGCAAGTGAGAAGCAGAGGTGGTTGGCCATTGCCTTCCTCTGCAGAGTCTTCCTTGGTATTCTTCCATCCAAGTACTGACCCCGCTTAGCTTCTGAGATCTGGTGAGACTGAGCTATACCACCTTCCCTCCTGGGGATGTGTGATGTACACTTTGAAAGAATATTGCGAGAGAGAGGGAGGGAGGGAGAAGGAGATGACCCTATGTATAACTGCATCACAACCATTTTTGTGCAGTGTTTCCCCAATGCGCATGTTCCCTTGTGTGTACTAACATCACCAAAAAGGCCCATTTTCATATGATTGTGCACACGTTTGGATTAAGACTTTTTTGTGGCCCGGACACTGCTGTTGTAACCAGTTAGGTGTTGTACAAACCCTGCTTGCCCTTAGTCTGTCTGCCTCATTCTCTTCTCTCCCAGGTTGTCAGAAGAATCAGTACGGGGCAGGCTGTCGGCAGACGTGCGGCTGCCGTAATGGGGGAATCTGCCTAGCAATGAATGGCTCCTGCCTATGCGGACTTGGGTGGACGGGGAGATTCTGTGAACTGGGTAACTCTTCTTTTGTGGCTCCTTTTGGTGTTTGGTGTAGTGGTTAGTAGAGCGTGCAGCTGCTGGTGTGACCTTGGGTAAGTCACAAGTTCTTTCAGAGCTGTTCTCTCACAAGCAGTCCTTGAAAGAGCTCCCTCAGCCCCACCTGCCTCACAGGGTGTCTGTTGTGGGGAGGGGAAGGGAAAGGAGATTGGAAGCTGCTCTGAGACTCTTTCTGGTAGTGAAGGGTGGGGTATAAATCCAATTTCCTCCTCCTCCTCTTCCCAGCAAACAAGCATGCTCCTAGTCCTTCTGTCTTTGTCCCAGCGCAGGCACTCGTCAGCCCGAGGTGGGTGGGGGGGCACTGCCATGCCCAGGGCAGAATGTTCAAATTCACACACAGTAGAGCTGCTCTTGGCCTGTCCCATGGCTGTTGGGGGATTGCATCTTTGAATGTTCATGCATTTCCTGTGCATTTCAAGGAGAAAGGCTTTTTAACTGAGCTGGACTTGATTGACTAGCCAGGCATGGAGAGAGCAGCATCTCGTGGTGATCATTTCCAGATGGGGTACCATTATTGGCCTGCGGAAAGAATCTTGGAGCACCTTGAAGACTAACAGATTTATGGTGGCTTTAGCTAGACTCTAGATTGACCCAGAGCCTGCTTCAGATCCATTAAACGTTACCCTTGGCAGATGTGTACATATGGGTATGGGGGGGAAAATTAATAGCAAACGGTGGGACTGAAAAGCAAAGGGCAGAAATGAAAGAGGTCCAATCTGCATTTCTATGCAGTGCTCAAATGTATACATGTTAAGCTTAGTGTCTCATGACAGTGGCAGGAATTGGCAATCCCAGTCTTCCAAGCAGGGGTAATTTCCTGCAGGAGCGCACAGGAGCGGAGCTCCGGCAGTAAAGAGCTCAGGGGGTGGGCACATGCAGCAAGCCCCACCCTCTACTCCCAGCAGCCCTCAGTCAGAGCAAGAAGCATCCAGGTAAGTTGCAGAGCCCCCCCGGCCCCCCAGTCCAGTGGCACCTTTAAGACCAAGTTTTATTCAGGTACAAGCTCGCCCTCCTCTGCCAGGACAGATCTGCACGTTTCCCCCGCCCCCCAATACCTAGCAATCCAAAACAGTCCAGTGGAGCCTGAGCGGTGGGTGTTGCCTTCCGGTGAGGTCAGGGGGTGTGGCATATGCAAATAAGTTATGCTAAGGAGTTATGCTAATGAGCTCCGGCACCTCTTTTTCTACGAAATGACCCCTGCTTCCAAGCATCGTGAAGCCAACTGGACGGCGGTACTGCACAAGTGAATCATTATCTTCAAGCCTAGATGAAAACTTGGTAGTATTCAGCTCGGTTTGAATCAAGTTAAGTTAGCTTAGTAAAGAAGGAAGTCTGCGTTATCACCCAGTTACAGATGCTGAAATTGCTCCTTGTGCTTTGTATGGAGCACGGGGCAAATGAGCTAGCCATCAAGGACCAAGTATCATCATGGCCGGGGGGGGGGGGCGCGGAAGGGAGCACCATCTACTTGACAGAGTGTAGAGTGCTCAGTGACAGTAGGAGGCATGCTCTTGACGTATTCCGCTTTTGAACTATTTAATTTTTGATTGGGTTTCCACACCTGATGGCAGAGAGTGGCCGGCCGCTTCTGCCTCAAGAGAAAGCCCTGCCCAGTTGCCCGTGCCGAGGGGAGGCTCCGAACTGTGGGCGGAGAGGAGCAGCTTTGCATAGTAATATCAGAGGCTACCCTGCTTCTCATGACATCGCGGCTCCGCTCTGTATCATTCCTTTCCCTGCGTCTATCCCTGCCAGCATAGTGTGCATCTGACAAACCGGCTTCTTGTTCATTAAAGCTAACATCACAAATAAATCAGTTGATCTTTAATAATAATTAAGTGCCGTCGAGTCGCAACCAACCTGTTGGCGACTCCTGGTGGGATTCCCGAGGCAAGATATGAGCAGCGGTGGTTTGCCATTGTCCGCCTCTACAGAACAGCCCCAGTATTCGTTGGTGGTCTCCCATCCAAGTACTAACCACGGCTCATCTTCTGAGCTCCAACAAGCTCAAGGACAATTCAGGCTGCTACCTTTACTTCTGCTAATCTTTATCGCACTACAAACTTTTTTTTTTCTCTTAACCTCTACGATCAGGGAACTTGAAAGTACCTTTCTTTTATGTCCACTGAATTTATTGTCAGCCAGAGAAGAGGTAGAGGTGATTCAGTTAGATGTCGGGGAGTTTCCAGTGAAGGACGGATGTCAAGGAAAGACAGTCAGATTTTGAATCAGCAGGGAAAACTCGGAAGCCAGCCGGTTAAGAAGTCCGTATCTCAATCCCCAGTTTTGCCTGCTCAGCTTGAAGGAGAGCACCCCTTTATGGTCGTCACGTTGGCAGTAATCTGAGAAATTGTCTTCCCTACAGGATGCCCGCCAGGGAAGTACGGGGCCGACTGCCAGCTGAACTGCCCCTGCCAAAACAACATGACCTGTGATCCGGCGACAGGCGCGTGCCACTGTGACAAAGGCCACTACGGGACCTTGTGTGAACACGGTAAGCCCCAGTAACATGCTTGTTGTCGTTTGTCCAGAAATACAGTGCGGGCCCAGTAGCCACCCATTGGCATGCAGGCAGCTGAAGGTGTTTTGTTGCCCCAAGCAAGGTACAGCCGTGGTAGCTTGTTGCACCACTACCGGCTGGGCCCCTCCCACACCACCAGTGCTGGGAACGAATAGGGTGACGGTTCCCTGGACGTCTGTCCCACCCCCTCATCAGTTGCTCAGGTCGATGTAGCTCGGCTGGACAAATGGCCAAAGAAGAATGGACGATTTCATGTCGGAGTGCCTCATTTCTTAGGCTTCGTTTCATAAGCGCAGGCATGAGTGGCTGCTGAATGGCCTCAGTGGGGGCTGAAGGTGTTTGATGGCACACCAGAGAATTGTGTTGGACTAGATGGTATCCCTTTCATCCCCCTGTCTGCTCTTCAGCTACATTAAATCTTAAGAATGTTGTGGGGTGTATTCCCCAGTATTTGTATAATCCTGATAGCCCTAGCCATCGAAGAGCTTTCTCCCTTGCACGAGTAAATGCCTTTCCATCAAAAATACTGTATGGTAGGTTTCAAAATATTCCTAAGCACGAACGGAGATGTGACTGCGGCTCTACCTCTCTTGATTCAATTGATCACATACTGTTAGACTGTTCGTTGCATGCATCTGCTAGGGAAAAAAATGGTTAAATACTTGGTTGCAGGGTAAACATCACCTTCCTAATAAAATAAAATGTCAAATTCTATTGAATGACACAACACTAGAGATTACTGTGTCCATGGAGCTGGCTGTCAGGGGGTGTGCGATTGTAAGAATGGAGCCACGTGCGATCCGGTGACGGGGGAATGTGTTTGTCCTCCTGGCTTCTATGGCGACCAGTGTCAGACAGGTGCGTATCCTTGCCTCCTTCCCTAGATCCTTTTAGAAATCAAACGGAGGCAAATCATAGAGTCCTAGAACTGGGGCCTTAGAGGCCATCCATTCCAACCCCTTGCTTAAGGCAGGAAATCCAAAGTTAGACCATCCCCAAAAGATGTGCTCGAAAAGCCTCCAGCAAGTGTTTCCCTGAGGTAGCTGGTTCTGTTGTCTAACCACCTTCGCCATTAGGATGTTTATCTCAATATTCATCTGAAATTTACCCTGTTGTACATTAAACTTATCAGATGTAATCTTAGCCCTCTGGCCCCCCATCTTGAGCTGAATTAGCACAAATAAAGGTGGTTTCAAGAATAACAAGAAAGAGAAAGTCTGCATGCAATTCCTATCCCTGCTTTTTGTGTGCTTGATGTAATGTGTGTTGGGGGAAGTTTACCACGGACAAGGGACAAGGCCTTTGCAGTGTCGGCACCTAAGCCCAAGACACGGGTTCTTAAACCACAAACAACCAGACAAGCACATCCAGAATGAAACCCTGATATGAAACCGCACAGAAGGAAATGCTGTCCATCAGCGTTCTGAGCTTGGTTGTCTCTGTTTGGAACATGACTTGCTCGTTCGGGCATTCGCCGAATGTTCAGCAAGCCTCATGCCGAACAAGGCCCCTGCGTCGGGTATTCAAGTCTCAGTTGGGTAGCATGGAATCAATGTTCCCTCTAAGCTGTGGAGTCTTCTAAGCAAAAAATCCACTTTGTGAGCTACTGGCATTAAAGTTGTGATTGAGCGCTCTGGATACTGCATAAATATGTTTGCTCTGGAGCCACATCCTTCCTGAGCGAAGGCAAAAATGTGTGAGCCAGAGGCTAAAAAACTGTGAGCTAGCTCACACTAAACTCAGCTTAGAGGGAACACTGCATGGAATGGCCTCTGGAGGGGGTTGGCTGAGCCTAGATTAAGGCCTGAAGCCAGTGGTCAGGATCTCTGCACTAAACTTTTCAGTTCTTTGGGGCCAGATGGGATTACTTCCATTCAGACAAGCAGCAGGCCAGAGATACTTGACTTGGCCAAACAATCTCCCCGTTGGCTGGCTTCGTTTCTTTGTTCTGGAGTGTGAGGAGGTTGCATGAGTGCAATAATGAACATTACAGAATTAAGAGGCATGTGGGTAAACCGGCTTCTTTCAGCTTGGCCTTCTTCAAAGGCTGGTGGTTAGCACTCCCTAGGTGGAACTGGTGGTGTGTATGGCCGTGGGGTGCCTTGGACTGAGGACAAGCTCCGTTTTCCTATTCAGCAGGCCATTGTACTGACACTTCTCTCGTTGTTGGGCACAGGCTGTGAGGAAGGGAAATTTGGAGAAAAGTGCCGGCATCGGTGCAACTGCGGAGATGGCACGCCGTGTGACCCAGCCACCGGGCGCTGCATGTGCCCTCCAGGGAAGACCGGCAGCAAGTGTGACGTGGGTGAGAGTGTCGAGGGGTTATTTGCCAAGGACTGGGAGGAGGGGAAGCGCCTCTCAAATGGCCCCCTTTCCTTCGGATGGATTTGCTAGCCTTGGATGGATATGCCAGGCCCATAGCTGCAGTGGGGCATTTCGGGGGCCCGCCCCCTAATTTGAAAAGCCCTGCCCCACAAATAGCCTTGAAAGGAAGGGCTACAAACAGGCTTGGAGCCTCCCCCTTTAAGGACAGACATTCAGGTTAATGAACTGTAATTTAACTGCCCCCCTTAAACATTTAAATGCCCCCCCCACAAATAATCCTGGCTATGGGCCTGTGATATGCCTTCCTCCTTGACAGAAGGGAGGGAGTCACACACAAGTCAGCTGATCAGTTACTGGCTTAGATTGCCGGTAAAAGGCGGGTTAAGCGAGGATGGTGAGTACTAAATGGAACCTCTCTGTTCAGAGGCAGTGTACCTCTGAGTACCAGTTGCTAGGGGCAACAATGAGGCCTGCTTGGGACCTCTGGCTCTGCGAAACAGGACGCTGGCCTCTATGCCTGATCCTGGAGGCACCGTTTTCTGCTTTTCTGTCAGTTCTTAGTTAACCACAGGAACATGTTCCGAGAACTGTGAATGAGGCTGACTTCCATTTTTAACTCAATGAGGGCATCACCGTTAGCAAAGGCAGTTGGGCGGTTGCTGGCCCCAAAGGCCTCCAGCGGGAACGGACAGTCTAGTGGCAGAGCGACACTTTTCCCATGGTGCTACCGCCAGTAACTGCAGTACTCTCCAGACACAGAAAACTGGCCTGCTGACCTAACTTCTAGCTGGCCGTTGCTGCAAAGTGGAAGCTGTTTATTATATGGTGGTCTCACGGAACCCTGTCCTGGCTTACCTTATTTACACTCAGGGCCTGGGCAAAAAGTCCAGGAGTCCCAGCGGCCCTGCTTCAGCAGCCTATGGTGACGGACAGGAGAGCTCCACCTAGTGCACCTTCCTCTTTATTTATGTACTTCCTTATTATTTAGTTGCAAATTTTTCAGTTAAAAAGTGGCACTCACTAAAACAAGCAGTGGATTTTTTTTTAATTATGAATTATTTTTGTGCAAGGGCTTTCAAAGCCCTGAGTAGTAGGTATCTCCTTGGAAGAGGCATTCCCTCCTTATACAAAACATGCATTCTTCCTCCTCTCCCTTTCAGGGTTGAGACTGATTGAATAGTCACTGGAGATTGCGTGATTCCCCACCCTCTCATATTGCATGCGGACTAGAAAAATAGGTCTCCCTCATATGCTGACTTGACCCTTTCTCCTTGATGAGCTAGTTTTCTAAGAGCACACACACATACACATATATACATATATATATATATACACATACACAGGGACATTGCTGGTGCCAATTTGCTTTTTAACAGGGGTCATTTCCTAGAAAAAGAGGTGCAGAAGCTCATTAGCATAACTCATTAGCATAACTTATTTGCATATGCCACACCCCCTGACCTCACCGGAAGTGTGTCAGAAGGCAACACCCACCGCTCAGGCTCCACTGGACTGTTTTCGATTGCTAGCTATTGGGGGGGGGGATGTGCAGATCTGTCCTGGCAAAGGAGGGAGAGCTTGTACCTGAATAAAACTTGGTCTTAAAGGTGCCATTGGACTGTTTTGGACCGGGGTCCGGAGTGGGTGGCTCTGCAACTTACCTGGCTGCTTCTTGCTCTGACTGAGGGCTGCTGGGAGCAGGGTGTGGGGCTTGTTGCATGTGCCCGCCCCCTGGGCTCTTTACTGCCGGAGCTCCGCTCCTGTGCGCTCCTGCAGGAAATGACCCCTGCTTTTTAAGAACCTAACTGACTCCCCTTTATATGTACTCTTCATTGACCCAGATTGCCCACTGCAGAAATTTGGCCCGGATTGCGCTCTGTCCTGCGAGTGCCCCATGACCAATGCTTATTGCAACCCCCGAAATGGACGATGCGTTTGCCTTAATGGATACATAGGAGCCAGGTGTCGGGAAGGTAAGCGGGCTGCGTTGGCTGCCAGTGGAAATGTTCTGCTTATTGGAGCTCACCGCCTCATTCACAACAGTTGAGGCATCGGGTTGCCAGTTCTACCTTGGGAAATGCCTCGTAGCACGTGAGAGGGCAGAGTTTGGGAGGGAAGCTGAACGGGGATGTGAGCCCATAACATCCACCCTCCAAAGCTGGTATTTCCTCCGGGAAACTGATCTCCGTAGTCTAGAGATCAGCTGTAATTCTAGAGGCTGGGAACCTTGTTTAGGTAGAGTTGTCCCCCCTTCCGTGTCAAAACAGAAAATTAACACCTCAGTTGTTCTCACTGACGTGCTGTTTTGCTAAGTGCTGGGTGCTGGGCACAGGTGGGAAATAGGACAATCCCAACCAAGGCTCCCTCTAAGCTGTGGAGTCCTGTGAGCAAAAATTCTACTTTGTGAGCTACTGGCATTAAAGCTGTGAGCAGGTGATTTGGCGACTGCATAAATGAGTTTGCTCTGGGGCCATCCTTCCTGAGCTAAGACAAAAATCTGTGACCCGGAGGCTAAAAAATGGAGCTAGCTCACACTAACTCAGCATAGAGGGAACGCTGGTCCCAACAGCATTTTGCAATCCAAATGTGGCTCTGTACCAGTCCTGCCTCTAGTCTCTGCCTCACAACCCTACAATTAGATGTAAATGTCATGGCTTCCCCCCCCCCCAAAGGATTTTGGGAATTGTAGTTCAGTAAGGGTACTTTGAGGAGCTGCGGTGGCTCAAGTGGTTAAGACGCTGAACTGCAGGCTGTGGGAGGTCAGTAGTTCAGCAGTTCGAGACCCGGGTGTCGCATGATGGAGTGAGCTTCCCGTCTCTAGTTCCAGCTCCTGCCAACCTAGCAGTTTGAAAGCAAGAAATTGCAAGTAGATAAATAGGTACCACTTTGGTGGGAAGGTAACAGAGTTCCGTGCGCCTTGGTGTTTAGTCATGCTGGCCACATGACCACAGAAACGTCTTCGGAC